GTACTGTAGTGCAATGACGACCAAAACAACAAGTTGTCGTGAAAGTCTCAGACGTCCATTTCGGGCATTTCTTTAACATGTAAATAATCACTACATTATCGCATAGGGTATCAGAAATGCAATAGCTCACAACGGTCACCAGCACCTATTGCTGCCATTTTTCATTAAAAAGGTAACCGGTGGTGGTCGATTGGGAAAATTACCATATACTGGGAGCGGGTAGCAGCTTATGGTCATCTAAACAATTAACAAAGCTATCGAAACATTCTGCAATTAACTATCTGTTATTAACACACCCATCAGGGACGCGCGCGTCTGCGGTGCGGGCTTAGGAGTGAAGATTAACGTGATCGGGCAGACCGCATCGCAACCGCTCGCGTCCTAGGCAATAAAAAGGCTATAAATCGCTGTCCTACGGTTTTTCCTATGACCATTTCATCTTTTGAATCTAACCATTTGTAGGAATGCGATTTTTTGTCCATTCAGCCTTCGGAAAATTCCGAAATGGGTCTAGAGAAGGAGCAAATGACGGAGATTTTTGACGTAATATGACTTTGATTGTGTGCGCCTCCATCCCCACTTTCCAAAGCTTTCATTTATCGCTTACTCCTACATTCTATTTGGTTGGCAGAGTGGGGATGGTTTCTCGTGTTAAGTGCCCATTTCTTTGCCAGCATACCAATCATGACATAACGAGAGCTATGGCGCAGTCAGTCTTTTTTGATATCGTTCGTGAACAGATAGTATTCGTTATTGATCGACCCGGTCGTCGATTTTTTTTCATTGTTCGATAACCGAAGCAAGATCAAGTGTAATGTCGCGGAGACCAATGCCGCCTCTACCCCCCAGTCCATCCTTCCTGACTTGAGCCCTTACCTCCAACCCGATTTGAACCTCTCATTCCAGAACTGTGAACTGTGACCCCTACTCTCACTCACACTTCCCGAAAACCTACGAAAATCAACAGGGTCGAACGCAAAGAGGGAAGATCTTTATATCTAGGTTATAAAAATCACTAGGCTTCCACCAGTCACTACTCATCATGCCCTCTCCCATATGAAGCCCTGAAGATGACCCTTATCGTTCATATATGCAACATACACTTGATCTTGATTGAAAATTCAAATCAGCCAGCGTAAGTGACATGAAATCAGGAAATTTTTGACTTATTCACAATATTAGGAGCAATGCATAAGTAGGCTGATCATGTTGCAGAGAGGGCGATTTTCGATTCGCAGTCATCAGTTGGTATGTAACCTATTCGTTGTTTCGAAGCGCTTATGTCTTCTTCAGCTTCCCACTATCTCATTCTAATGTTGTAGAGCATGGGGCAATTTTTGGTTCGATTAGTCAAGCTTGCTGTGAAGCTTGCTAGTTGCTTTGTTTAGCTGAATTTCTTTTCAGTTTAGATCAATAACCGTCAGGATATGAATGAAATTATTTCAAGGGTCAACAACTTCGATCCAAGTTACTACAGCGATACTTTGGACCTCATGGACGATCAGATCGATTGAGTGATGGTTCCGATGGCGTTAAATGTGGGTTTATACTCAAGATTATGATACAAATTGTCCTATCATTTCCTAATCAGGACGAACCGTAGCTACGAATCAATTCATATGGCATGAGATCGGGGCGGGACTGTCTGGAAGGGGTGGTGCTGACAACGAGGGAATCCGTTTATGTCCAACTACGAGTCTTTTGTTTGAGCGGCGCATCTTTTTTCCCATGCTGTTCCTCACGTCCAGATCCAGGGTAAAATTGCCTTTTTCAAGGGGACTAAATTCAAGTTTTCAGCAGCCGGACATGCTGACAAAGATTACGAGGTACGAATGGAGGAACGGTCATTGTACGATATCCAGTGTCGCCTGAATGATGCAGGAGCTTCCGACCTTGTCATCGATATCATCACGGAAGAGCCCAGTCGCGAAATTTTCCTTAAGGCTATTCATTTGGCTAAAGCTCTGCTCCTAGAGGGCAATGACAAGGTATATCTCTACTTCTTTCGCCTCTACGGATGTTCTGGCTGTAGATGCTGGCTACCTAAAATCAGTGGCAGGATTGAATGGGTTGTTTACCTCTGAACTTCAGGTACAACAATCGTTCTATAACCGTTTGAAAAAGAAAGACGCTCATGAGCCATTCTTCAAAGCCATCTCACAACGAATACAAACGGCACAAAATCGTCTAAAAAGTGATATGATGTCATGCAATGAGAATAAACCCAAAGGAGGCAAGTCATTCTCAGGACCTAAGGGACTGTTTGGCTTCGATTCAAGATATCTGAGTAGGGTAACAAGTCCGTTACTTTTGTTCTTCTACTTCAGGTTGTAATAGGTTTTTAGTTGCGAATGCTCTTACTAACACAGCACCTTGAATACATGGTCATCACTGTTAATTCTTACTTATCATCACATTTCAGCACCATCAGCTGGCGCCAGTAGACGATGTAAGTGTATCCGTGTGTGTGTGCCCTTGCTTGTCGCAAACCAATATATGTACGCCCAAAAGCTTGACAGAGATTTGAAAGGCGCGATTCGCTATGCGTATAACAACAAGTGGGAAGGTCGATTTGGTTGTGTGACTTTCTAACAGAATAGAATTGAGCAAAATCCCGCTTATGAGGAGTTTTGGAATCGAAGTTTTAAGTCCCGAGTTTCCGTGTTTTAATTGTAGCTATTCTGGCTCGAAGTGATGGCTCAAATCCCATTTATTCTGGAAGTCTCGCGATCTGTGCACTTTGTGCAGTCATCCACCAGAATACAGTCCCTATTCGAATTCTGAGGCATCTTCTGGAGCGCGAGCGTGAACAGCCTTCTCTCCCTCATTCGAAGATTGTCTCGAATCAACTTTTCATATTTGCTAACCCCAGCAACGAAGTTGGTTCCGGACGGATTTTGATGGCACTGTTCATTAAGCGTGTAGGAGGGACTACCTTGTTCGCCTTGAGTCTCCTGGCATCCCAGTGGCGATTTCCGTGTAAAGCTCAAGAGGGATGCATAGTATGAAGGGGGAGACAGGCAGTAAGAACGGTTTTCTGTAATCGATTCGCCGCACGCGGCTGTCGCTACAATTCCTTCGCCGTTATTACGGCTCTAGCATTCTCCATACAGCTCAATCGATATGCGATCCTTACTTAAGGCATGAATCTACTATTAGTTCCTTTGGTCCTGTATTTCTTCCCGCTGCTGCACTCTGCTATATACCTTCGCGCGCGGCGGCGTCCCTCTTCCCGCGACGCGACAATTTCGTTCCTACTGCACCACACCCGTATGAAGGATTTTTGGAGGTAATAGGTAGCCTTGAGAAAACTTTTATTACGCTATTTCCCTTTATTAGGTACTTAGATTCGAATAACTCTGATAAGTCCAGCAGTTGCCACATGATTTGATGGTGACCAATGGGCGGATACCGTGAGGGATACCGTGAGGGTTTTTTTGTTTGTTGTGCAATGGGAGAAAGCTTTCACTTTGCTGAATTCTTTTTTATTCGGGAGCTATCCCTGGGTTCTCCACTGGTTGATAGCCTTCTCTCTGATTCTGACAAATGTATCATTTGATTAGATGGAGACTGATACTTCTAGATTTATATCGTACTGCGGTACTTGAATAATCCCAGATGAGTCGGTTAGTTAGAGTAGGAGCTACTGTACTAGGCTCGGAAGGCCTGCACGCCTGCTCTTTAGTCAATAGAAAGCTTTTAGATAAAACCTAACCCATTTCTGTTAACCCTTTTCTGGGAGCGTCGATTGGAAGTCCTCAAATATCTGGGAATTCCCTGGAATTGACCTCTGTTGTAGTAGAAGTTCTGTTTCTTAGCATGTCAAGGGCGATTCTCAAAACGATCGAAAGCTACTCTCACACTCATGCTGAGCTTTTCAATTCGTGTATGATCAATAAATGGGGTAGAGTATCGATTTTGCTGCGTAAAATCGATATTCGCCTCTGAAACAAACAGACCAAGTAAAGTGTGGAGGCAGCTCTCATTAAAAAAAAGCGCTTGCTTGTCTGTCATTGCCTATCTCCTTATGTTCTTTCTCCAATCTTTGTCCATTTATTGAAGGCTCACCTCGACACAGCTTTTCCGGCATATCAAACACACAAGTGGACGAACATCATCTACACAGACACAGTCTGGACAATCTACAAAGTTTGTCAGCTTCAGTAATAGTTTGGAAAACAGGCTCTCAGCTAATCAAAATCACATCTACAATCCGTATGACACTACCGTACACAAATGGTCTTACTCTGCAGGGAAAAGATCAGATATTGGAATAATCCGACAGCATGGTTTGCTAAATGCGGATGCTTCTCGATGAGAAGAACTATCGAAAAACAACTCATAGAATAGTCAAGAATTCTCAATAAAAAATTGAATAAAAAAATCTAAATTTTGATTTCCTATGAGTAGCATGGGCGAAGTCACTGAATCACTCTGGGTCTGTCACGTTTCTCATCCCTACCAGTTCACATCTTCAGTTCGATCTTGGAATTTACAGCATGATGTCCGCCATCTGCCAAGATCGAGAATGGTCACGAGATCATGGGGTCTATGGTTTGGTGCTTTCTAGTATCATATAGGTGTATCTGCGGTCACCTCCCGGAGATTGAGGGTACTTTCGGAAGGGGGAGGATCCTGCTTTCTCACAATACAAATTTTTGTTACAATTTGAATTAAGGCCCTTGAAAAGCAGAAAAATTATTAAACCAGGCAATCTACTTAGCAAATTCTCAGCTGTTAAGTGGAATTGATCCAGAGAAGCACCAGACAGGTACCTTGTAGATGTCATTTTGATCTGCGAACTACTACCACTCACATAACCTTGCATGTCTAGAATCACCCTTGAGCACGTTTCCTTTTGCTTTTTGTCCGAGAATTTATGTCAGCTCCTTCACTTTCCTAAACCTCTGTGAGCTAGCCGATTGGATGGTTGGCCACGATAACTTCAGTAGACAGCAATTCTAACATTTTTCCTTCGTTTTTTGTAGAAACTTACCAGCTTTGCTTGACTTAAAAGGAAAGTTAAAGAGGAAGATTAAAAGGAAGCAAAGTACGTACGATTTTCTAGTAGCAGTGTTAGTGTTCCCTATAAAAAAGGAATGAGTTCACTAGGTGCACCTCGTAAAAAAAGGGGCGGAGTTGTGATCCCCCAATGAGAAGCATGCTCCAATGTGCCAACTCCGCCTCCATTTTTACGGTGCACCTATGTAGTGTTGCCGTCGCTTTGGATGGTCGTGATTAACTCCAATTAGCCGGCTCGAATTCCAACTATTTTTTTTCACGCTTCCTGTTCAGTCGTTCTGAGATTCGCAGGATTGTGCTTCTTTCCTGGACAGATCATGACGTCCTTCATTTTTTGTCTTAATTTTTCTGTCTATTCACTTCAGCATCTACCGCACTTACACCAGTGTCATCAGAACATGGAAATGGTGGTCCCGGGGCACTGTTTGCTGCAAACCATATCAGGCATCCATCACTATCCGAAATCTCCAATCACTCACACGAAATGACCAGCGTTCCTGATCTATCACCGTATCAAGATGACGAACGGTGGGTGGATTCTTTTAAGGCTCTACTTAAGCCAAGTTTGGTTGGACCAGTTGGAACTGAATTCTTGACACAAAGTGAAGGTGCTACTCGAGCAAGACAGGGACTACCGATGTGGTTAGTGTCCTGCCTGAAGAGCACCGATTCTCCACTGAAAGCTGATGCTAACTAGTTGTTCCGAAGCTTTAGGATCCGAAGGATTCGTTATATTTTTTAAACTTTATTTTGGAATTATTTTAGGACCAGTGATGCTTTACCGCCTGAGGTTGCAATCATCGAGCCAATTTTGCGTGTGCTACAGCTCCTATGTGAGAACCACAACAACCTTCTACAGAATTTCATACGGAAGCAATCTGACCGTACCAATCACAATCTGGTTTCCGATACCCTCAGTTTCCTGGATACCGTTAGTAATTTTCTACAGAGTGGTCGTTTCCCAACTTTTCTGACTGGTTATTGTAACCTGAGCGATTTCAGGTATGCGGCTCGACGAAGGGTAGTCTAGGCGTGTTTGGAGAAATTGGCGAGCATAATTTCAGCCTCATCACTCAGACGCTTGCCACTCTCACTGAGTTCTGTCAGGGACCATGTCATGAAAATCAGGTCTGTCCAGTCGTTCGGTAGTAACTATGAAGTCAGCTGCTATTTCATTTCCTTTTCATTTGAACGTAGTTACAGTTTGGTCGACTGNTGATTATGGATTGCAGTGATAAATACAGGTCCTCTCCCGCCTCCTCTGCTCTGCTCCTTTCCCCATTCGTAACTTCCTGGGAGTACTCGGGCGGTTTTTGAACCCCTCACACCTACCCTGTTGCCTCAAAGTTTTGTGGTAACAAGTTTTTCTGTCAGGCTGCTTCGCGACTTCACCATTAACAAGCGGTTAGCCAAGTACATCTCCGTGACATACGGCAATGTTCATATGTAGTATTCAAATGTGTAACTTATTTCCAAAACCTTTCAGAACACAATGGCAATGCAAGAGAATGGTCTGAATATCATTATCTCGTTGGTGTTGAACGACATCAAACCCTTAGCTGACGACCACATGGAACTGGCACTGGAGATTAAGGCAGGTTTATGGTGTTACATAGCTTTTGAGACTTTTGACTCGCTTAGCATTAGTTCATGAGATCTGGGTATGCTTCTCATTGATGTTCACCAAAAACCCTCTCTAAATTTTTTTTATCGAAGTTAGAGGGAAATCCTGATTTTTGAACCAGTTTTTTACTACAGTGTTTCAGAGTCAGGCTTCAAAACTCTTGTTGGCGATTATGGAGTCACGGCATGATAGCGAAAACGCGGAACGTGTTCTACAAAATATGGATAACACTGACGGAGGACCACGACAGCTGGTTGGTCCGGAAATAGTTTGAGATCTTGACCTAACTCAGGGGGGGGGGGCATAGAACGTATTTCGAGGGCGGAAGACAAGTTTTGAAAACTGTATATGCGCGCAGGCCAACCGATTCTTATAGCTACTTTGGAGGTGACTCGGGGATGACTAGGACAAAGATGACCCCAGAGACAATTATGCTAGATGGAACCGTAAATTTGGTGGGCCTAAAGGTCG